CCCAGGCAGTAATCCAGAAGTCACCTGTTTGCTCTATCTCCTGTGGATCATGGTTATTCTTTGTCTCTTGTCTAATTAATGTCAAAGCCATCATCCCATTTATTCTTACATATATTTTTAAATATTTTTATTAGTTATTTGAGAATTTCACACAGCCCTTGACTGATGGATGGATAATAAAATGTGGTACTTTTACACAATGGAATCTTGTTTAGTGTCAAACAACATGAAATTATGAAAATTGAAGGAAAAAGATTGGATATGGGAAATATCATACTAAATTAGGTTAACCCAGACTGAGAAAGACAAGTGGCACATGTTCTTACTCAGTGGATCTTGGCATTGAATCTTTAGACATGTGTTTAATTTATAGTGCCTGTGGAACCCAGGGAGGCATAAAAGGACAACTGGTGTGGAGAGGGAAACAAAAGGGGAGAGAGGGAGGACTGTCTGTATTTTTGTTTGTTTGTTTGTTTGTTTGTTTGTTTGAAGCAAGAAATCAGGTTCCAGATTCTTTGACACTAATGAAAGAAAAATGCCTCCAAGGACATTTTAAGGTCCTTAAGATTGCTTTCTGTGGTCACTTTTTGAGCACACTCCTGTGATCACAAACCCTTTAAGTGGAATCTGTATATAAAAGTAAATGTTTATTTGGAGGCAAAGTAAAATATGAAAAAAATGAAATTAATTTTAGGAGTCAGTAGTTTAATTTATAATTATAGTTTATTTGAAAAGGAATTTTTACAATTAAGAAAATCTGACCCACAATTCATTTTCATATGAATTAGATTTTAACTTAATAGTTAACGAGGTTGACAAATTTTTACATTTTAGACATCTTATTGCATTCATTATAATGGTTTGGGGATGTTTTCTGCTTTAAATTTTTTAAATGTAGTTTTACATTTAAAACCCTTTAAAAAAAAAAAAAACCTAGGAATTTGGACTGGATAGCAACCTCTTGCTTTCTCTTTAAACTCAGGATGCTTGTAACTACAGATTGTAGGTTTGTGCTCATCCCAACACGGCATTTGAGCATTGGAATCTCAATGCTCAATACTTTACTGGAATATGCCAGTAAAGTACCTTGTCAAGTCCCAGCTTCCCCTTCGTTAGGAGGTAGGCAAATCCAGTTCCCCTCTGTGTCCCAAACTGTAGACGTTATTCCAAACAGATAAAGCAGCTCCAATGCCATGTGTGTATGTACTTTTCATCCTAAAGTAGAAGTTTTCCACCAGGGGTGGCCCAACCCCTCTATTTAATGTCATAGAGAAACAAGCTCTAGTTTCCCTCCTCTTTAAAATACTAGCCATAATTTCACTTTGATTTTCACTTTAACCTAAATCTGAGATGTTTCTAGAAACACCATGCTAAATAGTTGAATACATCAGAAGATACTGTTGATATGGCAAGGGTCATAGATTTTGCTACCATCTCGTTGAAAACAATGTTCCCACTTGAAGCAGACATTTGGCAATGCCTGGGAATAGTTTTGATCACCACATGTTGGATGAGAGGATCCCTGCCTTCTTTGGCATCTTGTGTGCAAAGGCCATACCTAGAGCTAAACACCCAGAAATGCTCAGGATAACCCCTCACAGCTCTCTAGACTAGAAGAAAGTCAACAGTGATAGGATTGAGAAACACTCTTCCAAATCAATGTGGGTTCAAGGTAGAGACTGTGGGTTTATTAAAGACAGGTAACACTTTTGGTAGGTTTCTTGTTGGCATCTTGGAAAAAACCACCATGGCCTTCTTAGCAAAATTAGATTAATGTATATCCTATGCAAAGAGGAAGGTAGGTCATATTTCCCTAAAATTAGAAATACCAGGCTGCTAAGAACAATTTAACTCACAACAAAGTTGGACACAAAAGTTGCTAAGTGATGAACACTCCTTTCCAAGGCCATTTTTGTTCTCAAGAGCTTCCCAGACTGGCCAGCTGATTTAATTTCAAATATCATGTAAATGAAGATATTTATTCTCATCCTACTATCTCCAAGAATGTCTTCACCCATTTTTAGTATCACTAACATAGGTTCTTGACAATCTGTAGTTGGTCCTATTTGTCTTGAGTTTACAACAAATTCCCAATAACAAACAGAAATTACAAGAAAATTTCAGTGGAAACACATCACAGGACACTGAATTGTGATTCTATTGAAATATGACTTGTAATATAGCAACACTTACCTAGAGATGAAATGCTTCATCTGAGCCAATTAACAAGATAGGGAGCTGCCTGTAAATATTAATTTTTCTCCTTTTTGATTATGTTTCCATTTGAGAGGGAAATACCCAATTTTGAGTTTATAGCCTGGAGGTATTCTAGTGTTTAGAGTTTGTGCAAAGAAGGTACATGAGTGACACTTCTGAGGTTTTGTTCTGTGGTGAAACATGGAGTATATTTTACTTGAATACCATTGATTCACTTTTCAAATGTTACTCCTACCAGCTGTGTGAACAGCACCACTACTCCATTAGGCTAAAGACTGTGGCTATCAGACTTGCATCTTTTTTATCCTCTCAGAGATGTGAAGCATTTATGTGTTGTTTTTGTTTTCATAATCTGAATTAATAAGTAAGTTTGTGGATATTTTCATGTATTCACTAATGATATGAATTTCTTTTGTAGCTTCTTTATTTACCATACTTCATCTAACATGTTAGTCTTTTCTAAAATTTCCTAATACTTATTTTATCTCAACATTGATTCATATCTTTTACATTTTTAAGATGCAGTTGAAAGTCTGGATGAGTATAATAGGGCAATAAATTTCTTTATTTAATGGCCTTTGAAATTAAACTCTCTAATTAAAATTACTATACTAGTAAAATGTGCATATAAAATGTATCATTAGAAACTGAAAGGCAAGCAAGAATCTGGAAGAAAATAATTATGAAATATATGTTTGATAAATGACATGTGTCCAAAATATACAAAGAGAAACTGTACCCTGAAAATAATACAGTGAACAAGCCAATCACAAATGTTGCAAGATTTGAATTGACATTTCACAAAAGGAAATGTAATAGTGCCTGATAAACACATAGAAAGATGATCATAAAAAAATGATCAGAGTTGTTTGTTATTAGAAAAATGCAAGTTTAAAACTACAGTGAGATATTATTTCATGCATAATGGGGTGGCTATAATTAAAAATGTAGACCATAATAATGTTACATTGAGGGTGTGTTGAAATGAGAATATTGATATATTCATGATGCGAATGTAAAAAAGGCATAATTAAATTGGAAGACAGAGTCTCAGTTCTCCATTTGGTTGCAATTTATTAATTCTATGTAAAAAAATAACTTAAAATGTTATGTATCAAAAAATAAAAAAAAATGTTATGTATCTTATGTCTTTGCTTTCCCTGGAAACCCTTATTACTTGGACATGATCAGTTTTTAAATTTTTCATATTTACTGCATTGTACTTATTTGATGCTAACAGAAAATCAGATCTGAATTGTAAAGAATTTTAAGATATTTGAAGATAGTAAAATTGAACAAAATAAGTCCTGACAATTCATTCAATGTGTAAAATTATATGTCTGTCTTTTTCTTAATAAAGACAATATTAGTTACTCCTAAATCCCAAAGTTGAATGATAAATAATGTAATAGATATATTACAGATATTCTTTCATAGCATTTAAATTATTAAAAGTTGCCTAAGACTTAAAATTGTATATTGTGATGAAAGAGATTACAATGAATATAGATAATATTTGATCAGAAAAATTTTAGGCTACAATCGAGAATGTGATATCTTAAAATGAGAAAAAAATCTATTTTAAAGTTTTACTTTGCAAACAGGTATAGTGGTAAGGTATGGGAGAAATTAATAAAGAAGAAAATAGTTAAATAAAGACATTAGCAGGTATGGTTGTTTATTTCAGTAGCACTGTAGTTCCCATGTAACTCTTCACACCAAAGTCCACAAGGACTGTTAGTCACAATGACACAGAAACAGAGAAAGTGAAAAGCAATAAGTAGCTGGTAAGGGCATTCATGGCCTAGGCACAGCATTATTTTGGACAGAGAGATAAACATGTCATGGAAATCTTTTTTTTTCCTGAAAATTCTCATAAAAATCTAAAATCTCAGCTTCATTCCTGTTACTAAGAAAAACCCAAATTGACCTACTCTCCTAATAGAATAGTATTTTTCAGTTCAGAGCAGGACAAGAGATTACCTAATAAAATAGGCGCAATTTGCTATTGTCTAGCTATGCCATTCTTGTAAGTGTGGAGGATGGATTATTACTTTAATGTTTCGTGTTGGGGTCATTTATGCAGGTCAGGGGGCACACAGAAAGATAAGTCAGTGATGTATTAACCCAAAGTTGTTGATAGCTGTATGGTCACGAGAGCAAGGGCAAAGAATTACTATTGAGGGGAAAAAGGGGGGGGGGGGGGGA